CAGGGTTTCTCTGTATTGCTTTGGACCCTGTCCTGGAACTCACTCTGGAGACCAGGCTGACCTTGAACTCACAGAGATCTTCCTGCCTCTGCCTCTCAAGTGCTGGGATTAAAGGTTTACACCACCAACGCCCAGCCCAACCACAACTTTTTAAGAAATAATTTGCCTGCCGGGCGTTGGTGGTGCACACCTTTAATCCCAGCACTCGTTCGAGGCCAGCTTGGTCTCCAGAGCGAGTGCCGGATAGGATCCAAAGCTACACAGAGAAACCCTGTCTTGGAAAAGAAAGGAAGGAAGGAAGGAAGGAAGGAAGGAAGGAAGGAAGGAAGGAAGGAAGGAAGGAAGGAAGAAAGGAAAAGAAAAGAAATGATTTGCCTTGGGACCAGGTAAAGATGCATGACACAAAGGCTGATGACCTGAGTGTCATTCTTGGAACCCAAATGGAAGAAGGAAGGAACTGATTCCACCAAGTTGTCCCTCTGACCTACAAGTTCTCTCTCCCTTACATGTTATGTGCATGGATGGATGGACGGATGAAGGATGGATGGACGGACGGACGGATGGAAGGTTAAGACTTTATTTAGGAAGATGTAATTTGCCTAGATCAGGAATCAACAACTCTGAGAAATACTCCATCAAAATTCAGAGGGCTACAGAACTAAAAGATAAGAAAATGAAAAACAAAGATTAAGCAACCACACAAAGACAGACACTGGTCATAGCTGCCTTAGGGCTGTGGACTGGTGCAGTGGTGGACAAGTTTAGTACCAGTATTAGAAAAAAAAAAAGTTTGTGAAAAGAAGTCAAAGAGAAGTAAACAAATGTAGGTCTCAAAAATGACAAGCACAAGTAGTGTGTGTGTTCACAATAGAAAGAGTACCATCTTAAAATCACATAAGCATCTAGATATACAAATTTGATTATCAGGGTTGTCTTAGATGAAAAAAAACTGACAAAAAGATAGAAATAATCGTTCAGAAAATGTGCTGTGTAACTAACACCAAAGAGAACAAGCTATCCACAGGGAAACTTTCTGACAGCAAGCACTTCTGATCAAAGTATCAAGCCAATGACTACAAAACTTCCTAACATAGCGGGTCCATGGATGGTCTACATCAGCTTCAAAACAATCTATGATTGTACGTGTTTACTATCACACAAAGACAACAACAGTCTTGCCCACTTAAAGCAAGAACAGTAATAATTCCCCAACATTCAGGAAGCACAGTCAGGTGACCTGTTAGTTTGAGTCTAGTCTAGGCTATATACATATACATGTACATATACATATACATATACATATATATATATTTTAAAGATAAACTTCTATAAGCATCTGAAAGTTAAAAGACAGACCTATTCGTGCTCAGTATTCCATTCCTGAATTTTAGGTATTTGTTTATTTTTCCTAATAAAATGTGTAAAGTGAAATATGCTCTCTTTTTCAACAGAACTGTTAGCACACATAAACAATACTAAAAATAACAACTACATGAGAAGTGGGGAGCAACAACAATTTAGACTTGCAATATTACATATTTATCCCAGGCATCATGCAAAATACCCATTTTCAACAATCATAAGATAGTTAAAAATACCAGAAACTATAACTCATGCCACTGGGTCAGCAGTAGAGTACTTGCATAGTACGCATGAAGCCTAGATCCAGTCCCTAGTATGACCCAGAAAAAGGTAGTAACAGAAGCCAGGTGTTGTGGCTCACATCCTTTACCTCAGCACTTGGGAGGCAGAGGTAGGCAGATCTCTGTGAGTTCAAGCCTAGCCTGGTCTATATATCCAGCGCCAGGGCTACATAGAAAGGAGGTCTCAAAAAAGTAGTAAGGCAGGCAGGCAGGCAGGCAATCAGATATTCATCAAAAGCAACAGACAATAGAAGGTGTTTCTAAGTGCCCTTACGGGTTGGTTTAAAAAAATATTTCAAAACATTAAGTTAAATAAACTCAACTCATGTTTCAACTTTAACTATGAAAACAATCAGCTAACAAATAAAATTCTCAATAAAGGAAATTATTCCAAAGACCCTAAAGGAAATTTGGGGGTTGAAGAATAGGGTTATTGAAATACAAAAATGTATGCCAAGCATTCAAAAACAAATTCACAATTGCAAAAATGAAAATAAATAAAACCATTAGCCTTAAATGTACATCCATAGAAATTATCCAATTAGGATTGACCAGATTTCTCAGTGGGGAGGGGTGCTTGCTGCCAAGCCTGATGAGTGGAGAGAGCCAACTCCTACACATTGTCATCTGTCTTCCATACATGCAACCCCTTGCACAAACAAGAATAAACAAACATAGTAAGTTAATCTTTATAAAAAAAGAAAATTACAGCCGGGTGGTGGTGGCGCATGCCTTTAATCCCAGCACTTGGGAGGCAGAGGCAGGTGGATGTCTGTGAATTTGAGACCAGCCTGGTCTACAAGAACTAGTTCCAGGTCAGCCTCCAAAGCCACAGAGAAAGCCTGTCTTAATAATAATAATAATAATAATAATAATAATAATAATAATATAAATAAAAAGAAAGAAAGAAAGAAAAAGAAAATTACTCAATACAGAGAAAAAAATTAGGAAAAAAGAGACCCAGAGATAAGTGAACCAATGCCCTGCTTACCAATATTTAATATAAGGATGACAGAAAAAGTAAAATTTAATAAGACAGAAGCCAAATAGTCCCCAAATTTGACTAATTTTAAAAAATAAGCTTACAAATCCAAGCTCAATGAACTTCCATTGTAATAGATATAAAAAGGTCTATTCCTGGATCCATCAAAATAAAACCATTGAAAGTAAACACAATGAGAAAAAGATCTTGAAAGCAAAAAGGGAAAAAGCATGTGAGCATGAAAGTACTGTGGTGGTCTGAAGGACAATAGCCCATAAGCTCATGTTTGAATACTTGGTTCACAGTTGGCAGAACTGTTTGGGAAGGATTAGGAGGTGTGCCCTTGTTGAAACAAATGTTACCACTGGGAACAGGCTTTGAAGATTCAGAGTAAGCCATTCCCAGTGTACTCTCTGCCTCCTGCTTGCTGTTGGAGATGTGAGGTGTCAGCTGTTCCTGCTCCATGTGTTTGCTCCACTATCATGAATTCTAACCCTCTAAAACCAGAAGCCCAGCTGGGTGGTGGTGGCGGTGGTGGTGGCAGAGAATGCCCTTAATCTCAGCACTCAGGAGGCAGAGTCAGGCAACTCTTTGGGTTGAAGCCAGCCTGGTCTACAGAGTGACAGTGCTACACAGAGAAACCCTGTCTCAAAAAATAAACAAATAATAAATAAATAAAACCATAAGCCCATTTAAATGCTGTCTTTTATAAATTATTTTAGTCATGGTGTTTTATCTAATACAACCATCAAGAAGATCAGTGATTAACTTCCAAGCATAACAACAGAGGAGAGAAGATGGTGGAATTACAGACTAAAGGGGAGAGGGGGGTTTGGAGAGAAAGAGAGGCTAGTAAAGAAAAATACTGCTTCTAATCATACATTCACCTGCAGAGACCACTGTTAACAACCTGCAGCAGACCATCCCGCTAATGTGTAAGACATTCTCCAGCACAGACACTCTACTAAGCAGTAAGACAACCTCAGCAAAATTAAAAGGACTCAACTCCTACAAAATGTTCTCCAACCACAATGAATAAAGGTTCTATTACTTTTTATAACTTGAATTATTTTAAATCTGAATTTATAAGGTAGACATGGTAGCACAAGCCTTTAATCAAAGGCAAACAGATCTCTGATCTACAGAGTAAGTTCCAGTACAGGCTCCAAAGCAGTATGAAGAAAACCTGTCTCAAGAAAACAAACAAAAAAACAAAAATGAAATCTGAATTTACTACCATCTTTATATAAGCAACGAATGCACAGATCCAGCACTACGTTTTTTTCCAGATGATGAGCCAACTGTCCCGACTTGTTTACCAGATTACTCATTTCCTTTGTTTGTGTGTGTGTTTTTTAAGAAGTGTGTCTGTCTTTCCATGTTTCTCAATTAAAACTGGCTGAGTTGGGTGTTTAGAGGGATCAGTCAAAGAGACAAAGTCCCATTTCTTCACCTGACTCCTCCTTAGCTTTGCCTTGGCTGGGGCATCAGGAGCAGTCGTGGCCACAGCCACAAACACAGATGGATCAGCCAAGGAGGCCTTGTAGGTTATTAAGATCTTTTGTAGATGTTTTAAACATCAAATTTATTAAGTTTTCCTCTTTTCTGAGACATGGTCTCAAGTAGCCAGCCTGACTGTTATTTACCATGTCTCCAAAGCTAGCCTTGAACAAGTCCTGGGACACAGGTGTACACCATCATGTGTAGTCCTTTTACCACAGTCCCTATGTATCTACTTCTGTGATCTGCTGGTGACTTTTTAACTATCACAACTTACTAAATCTAAAATGACTAGCATTATATACAACAATTTTATATCACCAAGAGAGAAAAAGAAATGTCAAACTCGGACAAGTCAGAATTTAGGTCATTCACAGAAATTATAATGTTAGAGAGGAAAGTACAGTCATATAATCAAGGATGGCAATCTCTTCAAGTTTTTGCAGAATTTCTCCACTCTATGTTTACCAGAGCCAAGAAGGATAAGAAATATCTAACAATTTAGAAAAAAATAGTTTCTATAGAACTGAAACAAAACCAAAATCACAAAAAAGCAAATACTAAGTAAAATAATTTAACATAAAGAGAAGGATCCTTCCCTAATACACAAATATACAAAAAAAAAAGTATAAAAGAATCCACCCCCCAGAAAAAAACCGCCCACAAATAAATCTTTTGCTAATGTTGTCAAAGAGATAAACCAATGCTCACACTGATAACCACTGGTGCTGGGCATACATTACAGAGGTACACACTCATCCAAGCTGTCAATCATCCACCACACTTTGGCCCAACACATTTTCCCTTAGAAATTTAAGCAGTAGAGGATGGAGAGATGACTGAGTGGTTAAAAGTACTTATTCCAAAACCATGAGGGCCAGAGTTTAGCACCCACACACACCAGGCATCCCTGCAAATACCTACAACTCCAGCTCCTAGGGTCTCAGAGACAGCAGCTTACCCAAGAAAACAAAGCCTAGGTAGACCCTACCTCAAAGGAAAAAGGTGAGGGTGATAAAGAGGAATACTGATTGTCCTCTTCTAGCCTCTGAGCTTGTATACAGGAGAAATGTAAGCACCCATGGGCTAGTGTGCTCACATAGACAGGCCTGCAGGCTAATTATACTCACATAGACACACACCCAAATGGGGAAAAAATGCACATAAAAGGAATTTAAACTGTAGGTACATTCAAAATATGTACAGATCTGTCCAAGAATTTGCACTACATAAAAACTCTAAAAACCTAAATAGCTATAAATAGATGGCTTATTAAAACAATTATGGTACATCTAAATATTAAGAAATATGAGAAGGAATGGTGTCAAAATATGGGACCTTATTTAAAAAGCACACTGAAATAAAATATACATAAAATCTGTCTAAAACAATGTAACTATGGCCTGGTTGGTGGAACATGGAGAGGAGTATAACAAAAGTTCAAGGCCACTGTAGGCTAAAAATGAGTCTGAAGCTAGCATGGGATATAAAAAGACTTTGTCATGGGGAAAAAATTAAATTAAGAAATTTTAAAAAGTATATAAGTGCTTGTGTATCCAGAGAGGTGTCTGAGAATACACAATATTAACAAAGAATGGGAGAGAAGACCATTTTCCTGTCTGTTTTTAACATTGTGCCATTCTCTACTGCTTATAATGAAATCTAGGTATAGGAAGTTGTAAGTAGTAGCTACCACATTTGCCAGAAGACATGAACAAAGAAGAAAACCCTACAACATGGTCATCAAAACAGGTAATATTTTCAATCCTCAAGTAGTAAAAGAATTCTCAAAACAAATTTAAAAATTCATAATACAACTTTAAAATTTTTATGACCATTAATAACTGACATAAGAATACAAGTTATAAGCCAGTTGTGGCTTACTCCTTTAATCCCAGCAGAGGCAGGCGGATCTGAGTTCAAGGCCAGCCTGGTCTACAGAGCAAGTTCCAGGCCAGCCAGGGACACACAGTGAAACCTTATCTTAGAAATAAGTATTATTAGCAGATATATAAATATCTTTATACCTGTTAAATATTTCATTTTCTTTCATGTTGTTTGATAAAGGCACAGGTTTAATACAAACACCAAGACAGGCTGCAAAGAAAGAAAAGGATCAACTCTTCTCCTAACATAAAAGAATTGGGGGCTAAAAAAGAGATCTGGTTAAATGAAAAAACCAATGGGCTTCACCTGCCAACTCAGTACATTGATTCTCTTCAGTGTGTAGCTGAGCAGAACATTCAAGCACCACCATGCTAATGTCTCTGGAGCTTAGGATGTCTCTGGAGCTTAGGATCTGCATAAGCATTAGCACAGGACTACCCAGGAAATAAAGAATGTGTGTGCAAGTCTGACAACAACTTCTCATGTAAAAACTACAGACTGGACAAAACATTCCTGGATTACCTCTATAAAATGTGTCAGGCAAATGCCCATCCCGCCAGGTCACTTGGCTGAATTTTCAAGCCACTGATTCTTCTGTTCTGTAAAGTATGAAAACGCAAGTTAGTCACCCAAAAGAATTGAATTAATCACATTCTTACAGCTAGGCAAAACAGGTCTAATTAAATGTGAACAGATCTAACAAAATTCTTTTCATAAGTAGGTGCCATTGGATTAAACATAATTCACAACTAGTGCTTCAACTACAATGGCCCATCAATACAACTGAATATCAAAGACGATAAGCTGTACTTTTTCAAACTTCTAGTTAAGGATTAAGAAGTCTTAAAAGATGCCTGGTGATGGTGGTGCACGCCTTTGATCCCAGCACTCGGGAGGCAGAGACAGGCGGATCTCTGTGAGTTTGAGGCCAGCCTGGTCTTCAAAGAGAGTTCCAAGACAGTCCCCAAAACCTACAGAGAAACCCTGTTTCGGAGAAAAAGTCTTGAAAGTTAGGGCCATAATTTTTAATCATCTTAAAATAGAGAAAGAAAAAACAGATGTGTTGCTGGTACAAAGAGACTGGCACAGGAAGATCTCAAACACGTTGGAAAAAGTTAGGAAAAATTACCTCAAGAAGAAATAACAGTATAAAAACAAAATATGCACTGATGCTCTCTCTCCATGTGTCCATTATTCACATGGAACTATTTCTTGATAAAACCCACAGCAACACTGCCTCTTGTTGAAATGGCTAAATGTATTAACAATGTAGTTTGGGGCTAGAAAGATGGGTCAGTGGTGAAGAACAGTTGTTATTGAAGAGGGCCCAAGTTCAATTCTCAGCATTCATACTGGAAAACTCCAAGGGATCTATCTGAACTCCACAGACACCTAGGGAACCACCAGTGCATGTGTTATACATACATGTGCACATGAAAGGCCAAGGTTGGTGTTAGTGCTTTTCTCACTCACTCTCCAATTATGTATAGAGCTACACAATTTGAATAGTCTAGCCAGCCAGCTTGCCCCAGGGATTTCTTGTCTCTGCCTCCCAAGCCCTGGGACTACAGACAACCAACATGCCTGAACTCAGGTCCTCAAACACTTGACCTACTGAGCCATCTCACCACTCCCCTAGCCATTTTTAAGCCTAGGTATCTTGTAAATAAGTAAAAGCCACCAATGCAATATCCAGGATATAAGCAAGTAATTAAAAGTTCTGTTGATTTAGTTTTATCAAGGGTTCCAAAGAATAACTTTTCTGATAATTTATCATTCTATACCCAGTGGGTAGCTCAGTTGCCTACCTAGCTATAAAATATTTCCTAAAGTAATTCATTTTGTGGGACAGTAATGTAGTTGAGTGACAGAGCACTTGCCTAGTGCTCTGAACACCCTGAGCTCTGTGTGGCAAGACTTTTCCTTAGGAGACACAAATAGAAACCCCATGACAGATCAAAACCCACCCAGCATGGGTGACTTTCCAGGAGTCCCTGAAACTAACAAGATTAATAGGCCCCTCCCCAAAGAAGACTCTCAGACTAGCCAAGCTGCAGAGAAAACTGAGACCAGACCAACTGCCTGTAAGAAGCAGAAACGAGTGGGGCTACCTGGAGGAGGTTTAGACCAACTGAGGCACCTGGAAAGGACACTCTCCCACCTGTTGAGCTGGCTGCAGGCTGTGCAGTGTGCTCCATGTTCCCAGCTTTGTGAGCCGTCACCAATACTTGGGGTGGGCTTTGGTGATGCTGCTGTCTTTTCTGCTCCTCTAAGTAACCCCTCACCCATCTTCATAAGTAACCCCAATAAACTCATTGGTTCATCAAGTTGTACTTTGTTGGTATCTATACTTTGATCTATCATGAGATTCCTGTCTGGGGTAAGTAGATGTGTATGTGTGTGGTATATTCCCAGGAAAAGTTTTGTCACACAACAGCTCTGTCCCCAGCACAACAACAAAAGTTTCTAGTAAGCTCTTCATTGTCTGCCTCAAAGTCAAGCATTCAAGAGCCTGTATGCCAGTCCTATCAACTGTGCTTCTTACTATTGTAGGAACAGAGTTCTACTGTGTTGCCTAGGCTGATCTCAAACACCTAGGATTGCTTAAGCAACCCTCCCACTTCTGCCTGCAAACTTCTAGAACTATCGAAACATGCTACTGTGCCACACACAAAATTATTTTAAATATATATTTCTACAGTAAAAGAACAGACAAATAGAAGCCATGAAAATCAAAACACTACAATAAGAGTATCTGCACCATACTATACTATACTATACTGCCATTCACTATTCTATTCTATCCTATTAGATTACACCTTGAACTGTGACCCAGAAAGCAACCCTTTCTCTCCTAAGTTGCTCTTGTCCTAGTACGTTGTTATAGCAACAGGAAGAGACTAGACACTGTGTCCAGGGGTGTTTATGATCTTGCAGTGGTGAGTACACAGAGAAGATGTTTGGAGTAATAAAGTACTAAGTCCAGTAAGAGAAGTTTAAGCAATTTATCACAGGAAAATCAAATTGAGAGTGATTAATCTACCTTTGCTAACTTTTCAAAACCAAAAAAAAATAAAATAAAATAATAAGGCTGACTTTTAATGTTGACCTCACATACAAGAATGAAGAGAACATTATTTAGATTCTGCTGAGCAACATTCTCAGAAATTGACAGGTATCCAAGAAAACCCAGTAACTGATACAAAAGTTGAGTATCTCCGATGTGAAATTTAAAATGCTCTAAAATCCCAAACTTTCTGAGTAGCAATGTGATACAAACAAAAGACTCCATACCATAAAACTTTGTTACATGCACAAAATTATTTTTAAAATACTATATAAAATTGTTGTCAGTTTATGTATATTAGATGTACATGAAAAATGAATGGATTTTATATTTAGCTTTGGGTGTCATCCCTCAGATAGCTCATTACATGTATGCAAATATTCTCTCATTTGAAAGACAGACAGACAGACAGACAGTCTACCACCCAAAACACTTTTGTTCCTAGGTACCTCAGATAAGGGTTACTCAATCCATACTGTTACTAGTCATTAGTAGAATTCCACTAACATTTTACAAATAAGACTGAAGGCTCACATAGTTTACTAAAAGCTACAAAACTAGCAACTAGGTAGTGGTAAGACTCCATGTTCAAAGGTTTCTGGTCTTGTTTTTTTAGACAGGGTCTCAATGTAACAGCCCTGCCTGTCCTGTAGACCAGGCTGACCTCAAACTCAAGAGATTCCCCTTTCTCTGCAAATACACCATGATTAGTCAGTCTTAGCTATGTATAGTTCAGTCCTATATAGCTTAATGTTTTAAACGCATGATATGAAAAATAATTTAGTACTACAGAATTTACTTTACAATGCTTATTTTAAGAACAACTAATTTCAGAAGATTTTATTTGTGGTAATATATTTTATGAGGTGTCTTACATTCAAAGAGACTGGAACTTTTGCTGGACCTCACTGCCCAGTTAATAATAGGCACTGAGGTCACTTGAGACTTAAGACTGCTGTCCTGATATGTACTCAGCCTATTCATTTACACTGTCTTTAACAGAACAATGTAACAACCAGCCTGACGTGCCTTGATTTCCCATACAATCAGCTTCAACAACCTAAACTTACACACAGCTTTCATCTTAAATTATGTAGTCTTCCATGCCACTGACCCAGAGAACAATAATATGTGTGTGTGTCATGATAATTATTTGTTAAAAACAGTAAATATATGCTGGGCCGTGTAGGCACACGCCTTTAATCCCAGCATTCGGGAGGCAGAGGCAGGTGGATCTCTGTGAGTTCAAGACCAGCCTGGTCTACAAGAGCTAGCCCCAGGACAGCCTTCAAAGCCACAGAGAAACCCTGTCTCAAAGAAAAAAAAAAAAAAAAAAGAGTAAATATATTAAAAATGACATTATAGAGCAAATATCATCCATAAAGACTGGAAACAGACAACATTGCTTGATGATGGAATGTTTGTAGTGCTGATTGTTATCTAAAACAGCTGGGTCAGTTGGAGTGACCTTACAGATTTCTGTAAAGTGTCCCATTCCTTCCCCATGTGATGCTTTCTGTGCTGCTTAATAAAGACAGAACAAAGCCCTTTGTTAGGGACAGACAGTCAGACATCAGGCAGGAGCAGTCAGACACAGACAGATTATAGACAAGCCAGAAACCATAAGCTACAGACAGAAGACACAGGGAGGAAGGAAGTGGAGAATTCAAACTTGGGCTTCTTCTCAGTCAAACCAATCCAAGTGCTTTGTTTTCTTTCCTTAGTGAGACAGACACATACTGGTGCCTCTGAGGCTATCCTTGATGCATTTAACTGACAAAATTCTCTCAGCCAAATTTTAGAAAGGGCATGAACTTAACAATTGACAGGAAGTTTTGGGTTGGGGATGTTTGTTTTTGTTTATGCCAGATGCTTCTTGTTTGATTCCAGGAAAATCAGATTAACTTCTACAGCTAAAAGTAATCCAAAAGTATATCTGTATGCTGTTTATGTATATTTTAAGTCTACCAAATTATGATATAAGCTATTACTAGAAACAGTATTTTTCAAGCAAGAAACATCCACAACTATCATCCACATCAGACCAAACCCTGCTGCTATACAACCCTAAGGACCTGAAAGCATACCTACGCTCTCAACACTGAGAAAGAAAGGATCCAGGAGGCTTCCTGGCTATCTGGTGTAGCCAATCAGTAATCCGTGAGTCTTAATGAGCAACACTATCTCAAAAAGGAAATAGAAAGGACTGGAGATATGGCTTAGCAGTTACAAGTACTGACTGTTCTTCCAGAGGACTCAAGTTTGATTCTCAGTACCCACAACTGGTAGCTTATAAACTGTTTAACTCCAGCTCCAGGGTCCTCCACAGGCATTAGTGCACATGTACACACACGCATGCACACTCACAAAATAAATCTTTTTTAAAGGCTTAAAAGGAAAAAAAAAAAAAAAAAAACT